TCGAAGAAAAGAATAAGACTGTTTTACAAAACAACAAATCACTGGTCTATTTATTGAGCTATTGAGCTAAACATCTTCTGAAATTAGGCAGTTTCACAAAGAAAAAGAAAAAACGGTAAGCAATTGAGATAAACTTGGACTCTATTGTGCCAGTATTGAGAGGTGAGGCTTTTAAAGAGTTACTGGATTATAAGGGCTCTGCCCTCATGAATGGATTAATCCATTCATGGATTAATAGGTTATGTTGGGAGGGGACCTGGTGGCTTTAAAAAAGAGGAGGGGAGACCTGAGCTAGTACACTCAGCCCTCTCGCCATGTGATACTCTGAGCCTTCGTGGGACACTGCAGAGTCCCCACCAGCAAGAAGGCTCTCACCAGATGCAACCCCTTGACATGGGACTCCATAACTGTAAGAAATAAGTTCCTTTTCTGTATAAATAACCCAGTTTCAGGTGTTCTGTTGTAAGTAATAAAAAAGGTCTAAGACACCCACCATACCAATTCTAGTTTATTACATAATTCTGATGGAAATTTTCAAAAAGAGCAATATACCATAGCTGCTCTCATATTTTCACCTCATTTCCATTTTACCCTACACAGTTTGGCAGAATCTCAGTAACACTTAGTCACGATCTAATCCTGGGTGAGTTCAACACCCATCTATGAAATTAAGATGATTTTCAAAGCTCTCACATTTTTCAGACTGCTGCAGTGTCTAAAAAATATATCCAGGCTTTTGTATTGGCTAGATTTGCATACATATGGCCAATGGCTATGTGGTTCCAGGAAAAGCCTCAGTAGATCTGTAATGGGTTTGCCACCACCTATAGGAACACAGCTGGAGGGCTCCTATGTCAGGATTCAAATTTCAATGTTCTATCATCCTATTAATTTCCCCTGTTGAGTCATATGTTTCAAAATGTCAGAAGAGAGCTGGTGGGAGCAGCTATCAAACATGCATTCATAATAAAGCAAACATTTTATACCACACTGAAACTGCATCACTGATATTTCCTCTACCACTCCACATCTTCCAAATCTCCAGGGCAGGGAACTAATGTACTTTTATTGAGTTTCTTCTATGAATCAAAATGTACTGGCACTTTCCTCATAACAACTGGGTAAAGCAGACATTTTTTGTAGATGATAAACTAAGTTTCAACAAGGTTAAGCAGCTTGACCCAATTTATGCTGCCAAAAATATTTAAGAACAGAGCTGTGTGCCCCAAAGTCAATACTTATTCCATTACTCTGTGCTAGCACTCAATATTCTATTTAGGAAGAGTGTGACTGCAAAGTTTGATTTAAAGTTATGTTCATATCACTCATACGTATCACTTATGAACTACATTCCAAATTCTTATGAATAGTATAGATTACATTGAAAATTATTATTCAGATTAAGTTGAGGGGAAGCCAGTCTGAATCATACCATGTCATTTTTTGACTTGGAACATGGTTTGTATTTTTTAGAGAAACCCTACCGTGGTACAAATCTCTATCATCTCATCCCTAGATTAAGGTCTCCCTGCTTTTGCTCTTGCTCCTGAGTCTATTCCCAAAGTGACAGCAAGAGTGATCCTGTTGAGACTCAAAATCACATTACACACCATTCTGCAGAGAATTTCCAAAAGCTTTCTATCTCAAGCTTTGGAATACAAGCAAAGCCCTAGATGATACGGGCCTTGCTACTTCTCTGAGCTTATCTAAACTTTCGCTCTTACCTGCTCTCCCCTTGCTGTCCCCAACGTGGGCCTTCCCATTCCCCATTCCCTTTGCCTGGAATGCTCTATGTGGAGATACTTAAACAGTTCGTTCCACACCTCCTTCAAGTCTTTACACAAATGTCATCTTATCACAGAGAGCTTTCCACCACTGAAAATCACAGCCCACATTTGGAAGCTCTCTAACTCTTTCCTACTTAATTTTGTTTTGAGATGGAGTCTTGCTCTGTCATCCAGGCTGGAGTGAAGTGGCGTGATCTTAGCTCACTGCAACCTCCACCTCCCGGGTTCAAGCAACTCTCCTGCCTCAGCCTCCCGAGGAACTGGGATTACAGGTGTGCACCATCACGCCCAACTAATTTTTTGTATTTTCAGTAGAGATAAGGTTTCACCATGTTGGTCAGGCTGGTCTTGAACTCCTGATTTCAAGTGATCCACCTGCCTCTGCCTCCTAATGTGCTGGGATTACAGGTGTGAGCCACCACACTGGGCCCCTACTTAATTTTTACCTTTATTATAATACATGTTTTACGGGTTTTAGTTTATGGCCCACTCTCCTGAAATAGAATATAAGCTTCATGAAGGAAAGGGTCTGTTCGTTTGGTTCCTTTCAATCTCCCCAGCTCTTGGAAGTTTCC